ATCCTTCGCAGCCTTAAGGTTCATCAGTGTCCTGTTGCAAATACTGTCAAAGGTTGCTTTGCTGCATAGCATTTACACAACTAAATATTTGTTGCAAAACTTGTAGTTATGTTCTGCATATGACAGTGATGAGGACGGAAATTAAAAGTTCATGCTGCAAAACTTTGCAGTTATATTCTGCATATAGCACATCAGAATGCAGGTACATGACATGAACTGGATATAGTTGGGCCAGTCTGTACTTTTTAAGTTCACAAATTAAAATATTAAATGACATTACTTGTATAAATTGTCTATATAGGAGCAGTGTCAGCTCAAGTATGGAAGACTCATAAAGGGGATTTAGCATAAGTAACAGGAACATAAACATGGTAACTTTTTTTTTCTTTTTTTCCACTATTAACCCAATTCTGAGGTTAGACACAGACATATTGAAGCTGGGGCATTAAAGCGGAATACCCTTCCTAATGCCCAGCAGTTGGCTTGATTGTGGGTTTGTCTCCTCCCGCGTATACCATGACTTTTAAAAAAGGTAAGATGCTTGCTAGGAATAGAATGAAGATATACTAACTTCTGTATACTGTAGTGGCTGAATTAAGCCAAGTAATGGAATATCTGGTCAAGTCACAGCATACAAATCATTTACTTTTGTGTTACTTTGCTAATGCATCCATCTTTCCTCTCTTAGATATATTACCAAACTCCTTCTGTTAACTCTCACTCTCTCCATAGCCACACATACAGAGACTCGGTTACTAGAGTTCATGTTGGAATTTTCCTACCAAAATCACTTTGTATGCCTGGACTCTTTGCAAGGGGAAAATGTGGAAGGTGGAAATCTCATTCCCCTCACTCTGTCCTGTTTAGCCAATTCTAAAGGAATATGGGATCTTGGAGGCAGCACTTTTCTTCCCAGGCCCAGGTGAGGGTAACAGAGAAAAAATAAACGCTGGGAGGCAGAACATTCTCATCTCCTTCCAGCCATTTCCATGAAAAGAATGTAAGAGTAGAGCGCTGTAACCACTGCTCTACCACAACTCTCAAAAAGATGAACTGCATGAATGAGAAAAAAAAAAGTTTAAAGGGATCAATATAAAGATGACAGAGTATGAAAAGGTATGTATTAGATCATAAAAATTTGTACAACACAGGCACATTTATCTGCTTAAAAGTTAATATTATGAGTCTTATTACATTAACTCATCTTAGTTGAACCAGTCTAGTAAGATGACCTCAATGAAAATATCACAGAATGAGGGTGAGTGACATATTTTCCAACTTTTTTGTAGATGTAACTTTTATAATAGTTTTCACTCCAGGTAGGTTTTTCAACCTGTCATTGGGATCAATCCGACATTTGCTCCTCGAGAGATGCCACAGCAGCCTTAATTGCGGATCTGCCAACTCTGCAAGCGAGCACGCTAAGATGATACTAACTTGTATGAGATGAAATTTAAAATATGGTAGAGTCTACATTTTTCTTAAATTAAAAATAAATAACATTGGCAATATACATATGAATAACTGCACACTGTTAGGTGTGCATTAATCTCGCATAGTACTTAAAAAATGCAGAGATAAGAATACAATAATAAAAATAAATGAACTATATGGACATGTAGAAAATGGTTCCCAATGTTTAAAAATCATGAAATATATTTTTGCCTCTCGCCAGGATTTGAACCTAGGCACATAATGAGTGTCAAGGCGCTATCAAATCAATTAATTTATGATTAAACTCTACACAATGTAGGGTCACGTTAATTTATAAATAACTTCCAAGTAAATTATATATCAGAACATAGTTTCACATTCCTATGCAAGAGTTCATGGAGATTTGTAAGTCTTATTCTCAATTAAACTGTACATGCTTAATCCAGTTTGTCTTCTGGTAAATGTGTGCTTTGACTTAGCCACTCCCCTTACAAGGGGGATTAGGACCATTGTAAATATGTGTACATTAATATGGATGAAATAAAAAATAAATATTTCTTGAAGAAACTTATTTTACCTTTAACACTGTTGTTAAGATAGGAGTCTCTAATCAAGCTGACAGACTTGGAAAAGATAAAATCCTCCAATATCCACGTTTTGTTCAGTTGGGGCCACCCTGTGAGATGCAGTGGGATATGATATCATTTCTACTTTCCTTAGCTGAAGGTGATGCAGGCCAAAGTGATTTCTCACGTCTGTTAGCACAGTGGTCAGGGACGGATGGGTGTGGGGGGGTTGCCTGGTGAGCAGTGGGAAGCAGCTGCATGACAAAAGATCCTTGCCCAATTACTTAGTGGATGACCCAAGCAGGGTGGTGGGGAAATTTGCAACAGTCCTTAACCCCCGAGGAGTGATTGAGGTGTATTGGCTTCTGGTGAAGATGTGTGCTTTGGGCCACCACTCTTTCAAGGCGAATTGTGGCAGCTGTAAATGTGGATGAATGAAGGACGTTTCAAAACTTTATTTCTTCCATCCAATTGCAATTACAAAGCTTTATCATCATCAATTATGTCTGCTCCAGTGCCTAGTTTCAACCCAGGAAGTCCCTTACCAACACACTAACCTCTCTTTGCCAGAATCACATGGGGCAAAGGAGATTGTTTTGGTATTTTTAGGCATCATTATTAATCCCAATCAAATAGGGATGGACACAGACAGACTGTTCTCTCTAGCCAGAATCACCTGAGCATAAGGAGAGGGTAGCGGTATCCAAAGTATGGTGGTCGTCAACACAGCAAGCCAATAAGTGCACCATCTGATCTCTGCACCCAGTGGTAGAACAGTCTCTAAAGCCTGGGCTTCCTTGAAAAAAAAATAGGCCCATCCCACACCTCTTAATTATTAAAAAAAAAAAAAAAATCGGATCTTGTAAAAAACAGTAACCTCTATGTTTTCTAGGGTTATTCATATTTACAAGGCAAGTTATCTAACCTAACAATTTATGGAGTTCTAGGTTTACTTAACTTTACAAGATCCATAAAATCTATCAATAAAATTTCTTATTTACTATCAATAACCTTGAGGCATCTGATATGAGTATCCTGTCTATACCATCAGAACTCTGTCCGTGTTTAAGGTTAGGAAATACATTTATCTAAATTTAATACAATTTAAAATACTTTAACTATGCCTCTACTGCACTTTTAAAGACTGAAACATTTGGCTACTGTACTTTAAAAGTTGAACTATTCCTCTACTGCACTTTTCAAAGCCGAACTATTTTTCTACTATAATTTAAAAACTTGTACTATTCCTCTATTATACTTTTAAAAATTGAACTATTCCTCTATTATACTTTTAAAGATTGAGCTATTCCTCTACTACACTTTAAAAAGTTGAACTCCTCCTCTACTATACCTTAAAAAGTTGAACTATTCTGTAACACTGAGGTATATGACGACCTCTAGTCCATTATCAAAATAAAGATGATGCTTTGAGGCTATTAGTAGTCTGTAAACATACATCTAGTAATATAAGGGCTACAGGCGCTACTTCAACGTACAACTTATAACTGAATGTGCGCACCAGGTTCCAGCAATCATCGGATACAACAAGAAGAGATAATGGGTTGCGTAAACTCATTTCCATTGCTGAACATGACCTTAAGAGTAAGTACTGTACTAATTACCTTTTAGAAGGTAATTTACATCAGACTTGAGCGAATATTGTTTAAGAACCTATAACAGTGGTTCTCAACCTGGGGCCCATGGGAAAAATTTAAGGGGGTCATGGCATTGATTTATTATTATTATTATTCAGGCTTTTACTCAGTGTTTTTCAACTTTATTTTGCAGGGGGATGCGAGGGAAAGTGTAAAGGGGGGGGGCACAGGCATGAGAAACGATGAGAACCACTGACCTATCCCCTAACGAGATATGATGACAATGGGAAAAATTGATGACATATGCTATATACTGTATATATACATTTGGCAGGATAAAATACATACATATACAATGGCTGAAATCCCCATTGTAAGGGGGTGGCCCAAAACACACATATTCACATGAAACTAATACAGTATATTAAGATCACTCCTCTTGGTTCCTTTGGGATAAAGGGCTGCCACAAGTCTCCCCTACCACCCTGCTTGGGTCAACCACGTGATAAGTGAGAACAGATCTTCTGCTGTGGATGTCATTTATGAGCACGGATAAACAGTATAACTGACTGCATCTTTAATCGTTTTCTAAGATATTAAAAATTTAAAAAGTATTATTAAAAATAAGAAAATAAACAAGATGACGATGCTGAATAAAAAAAAAGTAATTGTCTCTACACAACTGCCAATTAATTAATCTTTAAATATTATTTGAAGGACAAAGTGTAACTCATTTGGTGTTTGCAATTTCACTTGTCTTTATTATTCCCCATTCGAATGGGGGTGAACATAGACAGGTCATTTAGTAAAACTGCACTAAAAGGAACTCATCATTATACATGAAAGACAAAGTGTATATTTATTTGGTATCGACAGAACCAGACTACACACAATCTAATAATTTATGTATGAGTACAGACTACCAACTGTGGCTGTTGGACATCACGGCAGAAGATCATCACCCACTTATGCAATAGGTGAACCAAACAATGGTAGTTGGGGGGAACTGTATCATACCTTTATCACCATAGCAGCTACGAGGAGTGATCAAGGTATATTAGCTTCTGGAGAATGTGTGCTTTCACTAGGCCCCTAACAAAGGGAATTACAGCTATAGGATATAAAGGTATAGACTAACTTGGAAGTATAAAAAAAAACTCAGTTTATGTCAGTTAGACTCCATTATTGGGAAGGACATAGAATGTGGCTGGAATATTAAGGCAGGATGCCCTTCCTAACGCCCCAATGTGGTCTCGATCAGAGATCTGTCAACTCCCGAGTCGTGTAGTCTAACCACTCGACTACTGTGATGCCCAACCTGGAAGCATTAGATGTGATCAATTGTAAGTCACAACCTCGGATTTGGCAAGTGTGACAATTACCCTAAGCAAATGCCTCTTCTAACCTCAGACCATGGGGACCTCGAACCCACGACCTGATGAATCAAAGTCACGAGCGTTACCACTCGGCCACTTGAGCATAACCACCCAAAATTTATCTTATAAAATACATAAAATTTTGTGTTAAGACTTAAAAGTTAATTGTAAACAGGATTCTAACTTCACATAAATTTGTTGGTTTACTGTTTTCAGTGTCATTAATAATCCCAACTCGAATGGGGTGGACACAGCCAGTTGGAGCTGGGAAATTATTCCTAATGCCCTTTCTACTGCGCTATCAAGATCCCCTCTCTTTTTGTGTAAATGAAAATGAAAAAGGCTTTTACTGCCACAAAATCCATCACTTCTTGTAATATTTTTCAATTAACAATTCTAAAATTGCACATCGAACACTAAAAAATGTTGCATATGTAAGCAGTGACTTCATATAAAGCTGAGCTCAATCAGTCAACAAAAGTGTGATCGGTTTTATGTCATGAACTTCCTTTTCTACAAAGGGCTATAACTGTCTTCTTTCAAAGGACTTTGGTTTTGGTACTGTGGCCTCTACCCTGAGTGTATGCCATATTTAACTCAGACTGAGGCGTGCCGTGAATCCATGACTTGACAAATCAAAACAGCAAGTGTTACCACCATGCCAAGGTAGCCACAACAAAAGTTATATAGCAATGACAAATATAATTTAAAAGTCATCCAAAGTAGCTGTGCGGTTAGAATACTCGACTCATGGTTTAACCAGCACAAGTTGTCTAGCCCCACCATAACCACTCCAGGTAGTCCAACTCAATGCCAATACACCAGCAAGTTATTATGTCTAAAATTAACTGGGAAGTCCAGGTGCTTCAGTCTACTTTACAATCGCTTCCTTAGCTCAATTCTTAGCTGCGTCTCTCAGTCCTCTAACAGCTCTCTCTGCCGAGCTGGCCCACGTAAACATACCATCGTGACATCATTAGTAAGTATATAAGCAGTCGTGACGTCATTAGCAAACATAATAGCTTACACAAACTAACAAAACCCATGATCATTCCTGCCAAGGAATGTTAGGAAGGACATAAAGCCTTAATTTCCCAGTCATACTCTGTGTCCATCCCCATATATGAGATTAATAGTGACACACAAAATAAAAACATATACTGTACTTGCACATCCTAACAAAACCTGATATGTACAATGATATATATATATATATATATATATATATATATATATATATATATATATATATATATATATATATATATATATATATATATATATATATATATATATATATATATATATATATATATATATATATATATATATATATATATATATATAATATAATATAATATAATATAATATATATATATATATATATATATATATATATATATATATATATATATATATATATATATATATATATATATATATATATATATATATATATATATATATATATATATATATATATATATATATATATATATATATATATATATATATATATATATATATATATATATATATATATATATATATATATATATATATATATATATATATATATATATATATATATATATATATATATATATATATATATATATATATATATATAATATATATATATATATATATATATATATATATATATATATATATATATATATATATATATATATATATATATATATATATATATATATATATATATATATATATATATATATATATATATATATATATATATATATATATATATATATATATATATAATTCCAATTCATGGGAAGCACGTGAATATTCTGAATATGTATATGGCTACAGAAGGAAATTGAAAGAAATTTTTTGGATCCTTAACGTTTTCAAGTATACAGTATTACTTATCTTCAAAGGAATCTGAGTTGTACAAACGAATGAAGCGATATATATACATACAGAAACCGATAGAAAAAAGGGGAATTAGCTGCCCATCAACGGAAGTTGAGTATGAAAGTAGTGTCGACATATGTTATATTAGTTAAATGGGGTGCAAATACCAAGTAAATAAGGTAAGGTCAATGGTCGGAGAAATGATGTCACATTACTTTTGCTGAGAATAATGTTTACAATGGAAAAAGACACGTTAAATTTAATAATAATAATAATAATAATAATAATGAAAATAATACTAATGATAATTACTAATAATAATAATAGAAATAAGTGGCAACAATAATAAAAAAAATGATAAAAATAATAAATATAATAACTATTTAAGTAATACTAACCAAAAAATAAATAAAAGTAACAACAGTACAACAATAAGAAAAATAATGATATACTGTAAACAGTAATCAAGACAAATCAGAAAAAACAAAACGATAATATTTGAAATACAAACAATAATATGAATGCAATGACAAAATATAATTGTGATATGATAGTAATTCTAAAAGAAAGGAAATACTTGGAAAAAAAATATTATATATATATATATATATATATATATATATATATATATATATATATATATATATATATATATATATATATATATATATATATATATATATATATATATATATATATATATATATATATATATATATATATAGTGGTAGCGCCTTGACTTAGTAATCATAAGTCCTAGGTTCGAGTCCCAGTCGGGGTAAAAAAATGATTCATATATATATATATATATATATATATATATATATATATATATATATATATATATATATATATATATATATATATATATATATATATATATATATATATATATATATATATATATATATATATATATATATATATATATATATATATATATATATATATATATATATAATGGCAAAAAACAATTAATAACAAATGAAGAAATTATGCTATTTCCGAAATTACATTTTTCAAACTTGAATAAATCATACATGATAATAAGGGTCAATTACAAATAAACCATGACTTAAGTTAATATTATGGTGCTCGTTAAGTTTATTATTGCAGATTCCAAGACGTTTCTAGTAATAATATCATTACTTCTTACTAAGACAGAGGAATTGTTCCAGTCAATATGGTGACTGCAATCAGCATAATGACTGAACAAAGCACTGGAAGACTTGACAGTTTCAAATGTCATATTTATGTTGATTGATACGAAATTCTAATGATTTGCTAGTCTGGCCTACATAATACTTATCACAATCTTTACAAGAAATCTTATAAATAATATTAGAAGTGGAAACAGGACTATTTTTAATCAGCACATTACAAAGAGTGTTTTCACATTTGAAAACTAAACGGACATTTAATGTTCTCCAAATCTTGACTAAACTATGACATCCCTGAAAAAGGGAATAACTAGGGTATTATTAAAATTAAAAAACATATTAATGTCAAGGAGGGGAGGTCTGTGCAATATGTGTTTTACAGCACTGAAGCAGGTATTTAAGAACCAACTGGGATAACAAAGATTTTTTCCAATATCAAAGATTTTATCAATCTCACCATCAAGGTATTCTGGGCTTACCATACGGAGAGCAGAGGGAAACATTGAAGAAAAGATAGATATCCTTATTTTGAGATCATGAGAATAAAAAAAGCACACAGGATAGATTATTTGTGGGGTTTCTATAAATATCAAACCTCAATAAAAAAGATTGTCTATATAATAAAATGTAGGTCGTATGTATAGCAAGGGTGTAACGAATGTACGATATATGTGGGGTACAACATGCCTTGAGCCATGCTTTGAAGGAGGTTTCGAAGGGCTTAGAAGTTTTCTCCAGGACGTAGTCATGAGTAAATTGGAGAAGTCTGTGTTTGTAGATTTCAGTATATTTCCACTGATGGGTTGCTAATTACCCTTTTTTCTCTCGAATTCTGTATGTATATATATCACCTAATTCGTTTGTACAACTTGGCTTCCTCTGAAGGTAAGTAATATACTTAAAAACATTAAGGGTCCAAAGAATTTCTTTAAATTTCCTTCCGAAGCATATATATATATATATATATATATATATATATATATATATATATATATATATATATATATATATATATATATATATATATATATATATATATATATATATTACACAAACACACAGGGGTCCTCGTTTAACGTCAGGCTTCCGTTCCTGACAGCCGACTTAAAGCGGATTTCAATGTAAGTTGGAACACACCTAAATTTGAACCTAGGGCCATCAACCTATGTTAAAAATAAATCATCTTAAACATTGCAAAATAATATGTTATCTAACCCTATGATAAAAAAAAATACTAAAACTCAACTTAATAGTATTGCTTACCTTTTAAATATACAGTATTAATGGTAAAATTAAACTACAGTACAGCGTACAGTAAATTATAACGTACCTTTACTGGTGTGATTGGCTTGAACACTGGAAGGGGCGTTGCAACGGAGGGAGAGACTGGCTTATTGGGAGGTGGAAGCTGGAGAGGCAGATGATGAGGAGACTGGGACAGATGAGTCTGGAGAGGCAAAAGAACATAATGGGGGTACTGGGGCAGGTGAGTTAATAGAGGTGGAGGCACCTGAGGTAGGGGGCACAGGATGTTTTGGTGGGTGCTCTATCTCCACAAGGAATTGGTCAAGGCTAGTCTGGAAAGATGCCCTTTTCTTCTCCTCATATATTTCCTTGCAACACCTCAGGGCATCATTGAGTCCTCTCTCCACCTGGTCACAAATGATGATCATGGCCACAGTCATATGGGCTAAATCCGAGATTGCGGCCAATGTTTGTAGAAGATTCTCCCTTTCCAGCATGGTTTACCACTTCAATTTTAATATCCATGGTAATGGCTTTTTTCTTCGTAGCACAGCCATCAAAACTATCACTAACACACTTGGAAGGCATACTATTGTCAGTAACGAGCGAACACAACAAGAGAGCAGACAAAAGCACTAGACACAATATAGCGAGCGGGAATAAACTGAGCGGTGGTTCTTCTCCATTTTCTAATGCCGCATGACGCCTGATTCTTACACTACACTCAACAAACTATATTAAATAAAATCGTGTTTACATCTGTTTGGTAATTTTTTTTAAATTCAATATAACTCTTCAATATAACCAAATAT